TAGCACCGTCTTGATATTTGTTTGTAAATTATTCAAAACAGGATTAATTACTACCAAGAACACGATCAAGTTTATCCTCGTCTTGATGCTTCAACAGCTTTTCAGAGAGCTTTAACGACCTGGGCTTCGTGGGTTGATAGATATATCAACCCACGTAAAACAAAAGTGTTCTTTAGAAGCTCTGCACCTTCTCATTTCAGGTTTGTCTTGACTATTTTAGTATTTTGTCGAAAACACAAACTTTTTTTATATCCTTACTACGAGAGCTAAAATATTTTACTTTTAAGCAAAATTGAGCATTTTTTGTTGTTGGAAATAATAAAGTTAATTTAAGGTAACTTTTTTCTTTTAAGATTCAAACATCTTTAGTGATCAATCTTACAAATATTGCTGGACAGTGGAGGTCTATGGAACTCAGGAGGCCACTGCAAAGAAGCTTTTCGACCCCTCAACGAGACTTTTGACAATGGTTACCCGGAGAAAAATGTGATCGTGGAAGAGATAATAAGACAGATGAAGACTCCTGTGACATTCTTAAACATAACACACATATCGGATTATAGAGTAGATGGTCACCCGTCCGTATACGGTCGAAACACTGAGAAGGGCAAGACAGGAGTTCAAGATTGCAGTCACTGGTGTCTTCCTGGTGTACCTGATACTTGGAACCAATTGTTGTATTTCTATTTACAATCAAAAAGAAAAGACAGTTTCGGAATGTAGTGCTTGTGTAATACGATCCTATGATTCTATCGTTGCATGTTCCATTGGTGATTAGAGGTTTGGCTAGACACGTAAACCTGGGCCGGACCAGCATACCACGGCCTGTAAATGGCTCGACCTAGCATGGATCCTCAGCCAGCCTGCCATCTAACCTGGCCTGGGAATTTCACTCTGTTGATCTTTGGGGGTGGGGATATGGGTCCCAGATTTATGATACTTCCGTTGATCTTGTATCATGGACATTACGAGAAGAATGGGATTTCGAAATTTGTCTGCATCAAATTTTCCCCCAAAATTTTTTATCTCTTTTGAGTTAATTCTCAAGAGCTTAAAAGCATATTCATGAAAGAAGAAAAACCACCATTTCTCTGCCTTTCATCCTTGATGAGGTGTCATGCCTTGTAGACGACTCTCGGTTGTCTACAACAAATCAAATCAGTTCCGTGATGGAAGAAGTATTTTTTAGTTAATGAAGTGTATTTAATTGAGACTTTTAAATACACTAGTTTTAACACGTGCAAATGCACGGATTTTTGTTATTTTTAAGGTTGTTTTAGCGTTTTACATAAATTTAATGAAAACGTATTTATTTTGTATATAAATTCAAAGAATGTTTGGGAATCACAAATTGACG